AACCGCCAATGCATGGAGGGATGCAACCGCCGGAGGAGCATGGGCCCGAGAGGCGGCGACGGGGATGCGGCCGCACCCAGGGTGCGTCCGCACCCTGGTGGTCCCGCCTCACAACCACTTTGCATGGTCGGTTCCTAGGTGGGCCTAGACCCTTCTCCGGTGGTGCTCAGCCCAGGTTATTGCATGAAGGCGGGCTTCTCCTTTTCTCTCCTTGCGCTTTTCTGCTTTACGCTTTCTGTTTTGCGCCTTTTGCTTGGTTTTCCACTTTTATTCCAATGTGTGTCCTTCAAACCATGTTTTCTCCAATACAAGTGGAACTATGTTAATAGTAAAGGTATATGTGTCAAAAGATTATTTATTTCTCCTGTGTTTGGACTTTATTGGTAGTCGGATTCGATCGTTAGTGACCACCAACAACTTCCAGAACCACAAATGACCGCACTTGGTCAGAATAAAATTTCAGTTCCGATCACCTACATAACCCGTAGTTACACTAACTACCCATTGGGTCGGGAAGGGGGGCCCAAAAAAATGCAAGGTCGATTTGACTGAACGAAAAACACCTGATTTAATCGGGACACAAGTAGCAGCGTTCAGAATCAACGAAAGTCATCCTTTTTCGATTAAACTCTGTTACACTTTACATTACAAGGTATACAATAACTAAAATCTATCAGAAACTGCTACAGTTATGAGGCCCTATTTGGTTGGGTTTTCAACCTGCTTTTGCTTTTGCAAAAGCCAAAAGCTAACCAAAGGGTTCAAAAGCCACAGTTGCTTTAGGCCAAAAGCTGCTTTTGCCCTAGTACAAAACTCAAAGCACCTCACCCCTAGCTTTTAGCTGCTTTTGGGACAAAAAATTACCCAACTGCCATTGGTTATTAAATGAATCATTATTTTCCATCTTCCTTCTATTCACATTGTCCCCATTGCGAATGCTTCCCATCCAGCGTCTTGGCGGTGCCGCTCCCCCCTCTTTGGCCGGTGGCGGCGCTCCAGCGACCCTATGGCCTCTCCTGCACTCATGAGTTGCAAGATCCCCTCCTCCATGGTCGGCACAAGCTCCCTCACTTCTTTCCTAGAGCGTCGCCGCCTCGCGCCACCTCTGTCCTCAACGGCTCTGGTGGTGGGCGGGCATTCACAGGCCCCGATGGCACGGCGCCTCTCCCCATCCGATGAGCCCCCATCCCCACTCCGTTGCGGCCTCTCTCCCCTCTCCAACCCTATAGCAGTGAGACAAGATACCTCCGAGCACATCTAGTTGCCCACCCCCTACATCTGAACGCCACTGGGCTCGGCGGTAGCCCTGCCTTGGCATGGGCACAGCGTAGCCCCCTCTCCCCATCTGGTGAGTCCCCATCCCTACTCCATTGTGGCCCCTCTCCCCTCTCCAACACTACAACAGTGAGACAGGAGACCTCCGAGCGCATCCGGTTGCCCGGCCCCTACATCCAAGCGCCACCCGCCCCTACATCTGAGCACCACTGGCCTCGGCGGTGGCCCTACCATGGCACGGGCACGACGCAGCCCCGGCGCGGTCTCGTGGCCCTATTCCTACGGGCACAAAGACCTCCGGTGCACTAGCAGAGCTACATGCAAGCCAAAGAGGGCCATGACACCTCCTTGATGATTGAAAACTTCCTTAATTAGCTATGAAACTGATTAAAATTTATAAATATGCATATTCAGTAAGAAATTAGTGTTGATGGCCCCCTCTTATTTTCCCATCAAGCTCCACCACTGCTTCGGTGGGTGAGCGGCCCTGTTCCTGGTGAGAGGAAGAAGATGCAGGCTGACTGTCTATGATGTGTGGGGTCCACTCTTGAGTGAGAGAAGCCTTTTCAAAAGCCATAGCTGTTCAACCAAATAGGCTTTTCACTTTGCTGCAGCACCTTTTCACAGCAGCCTTTGCAAAAGCCTGTAGCTCACAGCAACTTTTATAAAAGCCATAGGTGAACCAAACAGGGCCTGATAGCCTTATGAGTGCAGGTCGACTTCGCACCCAGCGATGGACATCTCATGAAGTGTAGAAGCCGAACGAATGCACACGGCGACCTTCATGTCACCTTTGAATCTTCATGACTAGGGACGATGCCTGGAAGACACATCGAGGAGTCCCACCTCACGGAGCTTCCTCTAACATCCAAGAGGAGAAGCCCTGTGAGGAGGTCGGCTCGCTCTATCTTCTACAGCATTGGGGAGGAGCAAACGGCGTCAATTCGGTAGCTTCAAGCCTCCAAATCGATACATGAGAGCTCCCAGGTCTAGATCTGTAGGGCAAAAGGTTTCTTGGCAATAGCAAGACGCCCTTTGCCCTCCAGGATTTTCTACAGATATTCTGACCTGGAGATCTCCCACGCGCTAACCACCGGTGAGCCTAGCCACCGTGCCCTCGATGGCCCGGGCCACCAATGGTATTGTTCCTCCCCATCTTCGCGGAACTTCCTCTAATAGTGAAGGAGAACGGCCACCGCTAGGCCATTGTAGAACCCGGTCTTGAAAGCTTTCTCCCAGCGATGGCACGACCGCCGAGAGGCGCTGTGAACCATGGCGCACGAGCAGAATCACCACTCTCTCACTCAGTCTGAGGCTAAGGGATTTGAGGAAGAAAGCAACTTAAATAAGCGTCCTGAGGACGGTAGTGGGGGAGATGGTGGTTGGCATTGAAGGCGAACCCAGTCATCGAGAGGGTTCTATGGAGTAAAAGTGTGGGAAATAGAACGGTTTGAGTTCCCAGGCACCACTATCCTTATTCTTTACAGGATTTAATGACGCGCAAACAATGCATTCAAATGGGAGGAAGAGTTCCACCCAAACAATTCTCAAAATTTAGGAAGGCATTACTGCTAGCAAGCGCAACACGCACAGTTGTCCTGATACTCAGGACCCTCTGATTGTATTCAAACATCTCGGTATCCATCGGGACCTATGGTACCCGAAGGCTACACGACCTGTAGCACTCGAAGGATTGCACAGCTCCACGAGACCGTCATCAAATCCTATGGGGGCTACTGTCAGATATATGGGTCCGAGGTACCCTCACCGACCATGTATCCGGCCCATCAAGTAAAGGACATCCAAGGATGAAGCCCACGAGGACTAGGCGCAACCATCAACATGGAGATCACGATGTATCAAGAGTATCTGTCGCCATCGTAGCTATGGTAGGATTGGATTGATCTGTTGTAACAAACTAGGAATCCAATCTGTACCATCGATCGCCCTCGATGTAACCCTACCCCTCTGCCTATATAAAAGGGGTGAGGATCCCTCGACCAGCATCGTCCACCACGACACCATCGCCTCATTCCAATCTACCTCGTAGCTAGGAGCAACAACCCCTATAACCGAGCATATGAATATAAGAAGAGCAGTAGCACCCACTGGAGTAGGGTTTAGCGCGCCACCGTGCCTCGAACAAGTATAAATCCTTGTGTCTCGTGTGCTACCATCTGATACCATCTACGCGATCGCGTTGCTAGGCATTGCCGGAGCTAAATCATCTGACACACTTGACTGTTACAAATATCCTAAAGAGGAGGTGCGGATGGCACACTCCTGGGGGCCTCGTGATTGTGGTGACTTCCTCCACACTAGCCTCGGCATGCTGTGCTCGCCCACCCCGGTGAGGTCGCACCCCAGCCCCGGTGTGTCGCACTGCCGCGCCCGCCTGCCACTGTCCGTGGTGTTTTTTCCTTGCACTGATGCTTGCTGGGAGGAAGAAAGATCGTGATTTTTTTCTGCTGACGTGTGGACCCTAGTTGTTAGTGTGATAGAGAGAGAGGTGGAGCTGTACCAAACACCTCTGGCTCCACCAGCTCCACAGTACATCTATGTGAATCCCAGATCCAGATCCAGTTTTTTAGTTGGTGGAGTTGTCCAAACAAGCCCTTAAAATTGTAGAGCCGGCCCTGAATCCAATCCGGTTTTCATAAAAAAATATGAAAAAAATGGAAGAGAGATTTTTCAGTTTTTCTTCCCTATTCCGAGCCCCCCCCCCTTGGCTTGTCCGTCGTCCCTATGACCCTACGATGGCGTTTGGATACTCACGTGGTATGGGTTAGGGATACAGAGATGGATACATGAGGTGGGTTAGGGAAAGGAATGATGATATTTCTTCCTTAACCCATGTTTGGATGATTTGCCTTGGGATAGGGTTACTATGTGGCGCCCACGTAATAAAAAATAAAAAAACCTTCCTTATCCTCTACAATCGCACTATCTCCGCCGCACCAGCACGCAACACTATCTCTACTCCGGTAAACGCGAGATGTGTGCGGCTCCTTGTTTCTCCGCCTGATTCAACATCTGGGTCCAGCGATACTACTACCCATGTAGCAGCGGCTCCGGCGTCAAGCGCACTCTTGCGATGAGCGGAGGGTCCTAGCTCCGGCGCCCTACGCACGAGAGTGAAGCGACGGCTCCGATGCACGCGAGCGAAGCGCCCTGTGCAGTTCTGCTGGGTGCTGGCCTACGCACGCGACGCAAGCGGCGGCTCCGGCGACCCACGAGCGGCGGCTTCCGCATTCTCCCTGTCGTCGCTTCGGACCTACGCGGAAGGCAGCCTATTTCCCGACGTAACCCACCCCTTTCGTTGGGAAAAGATCACTGGGAAATGCCCGTCTCCTATTCCTATCCCAAACCACATTCATTTCCCTATCCAGATATCCAAACAAGGGATACAACCTATCCATCCCCTTATTTCCCTATCCCTGCCTCTATTTCCCGCAATCCAAACGCCACCTGCCTTCCAGCGAAGAGTGTGCAAGGCCGTGGGATCGGAATTTCCTTCGGGAGGGTTTGGTTAGTTGGACGAGTCACGAGTGCTCTCCCACCACCAACCAGCGCAAGGCCAGGCCACCACTCCTTACCTTTTCCCCTCTTTTGTTCCTTCATTCACGAATCACGTCTTCTTCCTTTCTTGGCCTTCTCCATCGGGCCCTCCTCACCGCCGAGAAGAGATCTCCTCTCCCGCACGAGGAGGACAGCAGGGGAGAGCGATGGGCGGGCGGGTGGATCACGAGTATTCTTACCTGTTCAAGATGGTGCTCATCGGGGACAGCGGCGTCGGCAAGTCCAATATCCTCTCTCGCTTCACGCGCAACCACTTCTCCCTCGACTCCAAGTCCACCATCGGCGTCGAGTTCGCCACCAAGTCCCTGCAGGTCTGCCGCCATTTGCTCCCCTCTTCTCTTTCTCTCTAGCTGTTCTGCACGCGCGCGTTAGTGAATGGTCTCTTCTCGATCCCAATCCGCCAGATCTCGGTCTTGGCGACTGGAAAGATGTCACCAAGATTGCGGTTGGTAGGCACCCGATAAAGCTGCTCGTTTCGTGCTTACGACTGTTTTCTTTTTCTTGGGACGTTGCAAGGAAGCGGCAAATCTAGGTGGAGGGCTGATTAAAAAAATATATCTGTGGAGATACTTTTTTTTTAGCATCATATATCTGTGGAGATACTGGGAGATCACCTGTTCACACGTAGCGAATGCTTCTTCTATCGATTTTCTGTTTTTTTAACTGTCTGGTAATTATTTAATGGTTAGAGTTCATTTTTCAACCATCAAATTACACATGAGTCAGATTTTCAACCATAAACTATGAAACCAGTAACGGACATCTATTGTTTTATAGGCTGTTTTCTATATTTTTGATATCCTTATTATTATAAATCAGAAAAATACAAAACTACTATAATTTTATTTTAAATGTTATGCACCTGTTTATGGTATATATAAATTTATTTGGAATTCGTTTATTTCAGTTCCTATTGCTTTATTACTTGTTGTCATGCATGCTATTTATTTAATATAAATAATATCTAAATAACTCTAAATAGGACACCGACAAAGAAAAGCTGAACTAGTTTCATATTTTTCTGATTTAAAATAAATTAACTAAGAACTTTTAGATATCAAACTAAATTTTATTATTTTAGAAATTAGAAAGCTACTTACATAATTCGTTATTAGACCAAAAATTTTCTGAACAGTTGTAGGGTGTCTGTTATTTAGTTTCATAATTTAGGGCTAAAAACCGGATTGACATCCAAAATGAAAATTGAAAAATGAACTTCAGTGTCATTACATATTCCCTCTGTTTCAAATTATAAGATATTTTGATTTTTTTGGATACATTACTTTAACTATATATCTAGATATAGTGTATATCTAAGTGCATAGCAAAAGCTATATATTTAGAAAGTCAAAATGTCTTATAATTTGAAATAGAGTGTGGATGTACCACGCTAGTTTTTGTTACTATGATACTTTTGCCGTATCATAGATAAATTGTTTTCAGGCTGTGGGCCGTTTTGCCCAGGATCATATCATTTAGTTGGTTGATGTAGATTGATTGATAGGTTGATGTGCCAGCTACTGCCTCTAGTCTGTATGTGGCATCCTGTCTGTCAGTAGAGTGTTTGGTGAAACCAAACTGTCGTCGTAATATTTTTCCTGCTGTTTAGTGGATGGCCCGTTGTTTCTTCACATTGTAATTCCTTTGATAACACTGTCATTGCCATTCTGTACTGTACTGGACAGCTTCTATTTTAGCTCAGGACTGCTACTGTTGATCTGCATTTATAACCGATGACTCGAATTTCTCATCTCAATACTGAGCATGCAGAAGCCTGAACATTTGTGAGCATGGTTTACTACTCCAGTTACTTCTATGTCGCCTAAGTTTATGTCATCTTCTTTCACAGATGGACGGCAAAACAATAAAGGCTCAGATCTGGGACACAGCTGGGCAGGAAAGGTACCGTGCAATTACAAGTGCCTACTACCGTGGCGCCGTGGGAGCCCTCCTTGTGTATGACATCACAAAGAGGCAGAGTTTCGACAATGTTCACAGGTGGCTTCGTGAACTCCGCGACCATGCTGACTCCAGTATTGTGATCATGATGGTCGGTAACAAATCTGACCTAACCCACTTGAGAGCTATCTCTGAGGATGAAGGCAAAGCGCTGGCTGAGAAGGAGGGATTATTCTTCCTTGAGACATCAGCTATGGAGGCTATAAACGTGGAGGAAGCCTTCCAGACTATTATCACGGAGGTCTATGGCATTGTCAACAGGAAAGCGCTGGCTGCCAAAGAAGCAGGTGCTACCACTGCTACATTGCCTTCCCAGGGCAAAACCATCAGCATTGACAGCACTGCAGGAAATACAAAGAGGGCATGCTGCTCTACCTAAAAATGTAATCGGGCTTCAAACATCACATTATACAGAACCTTGGCGACAATTGTTGGTAGAATATGGAGCATAGTGGTCACAAATGGTGTGGAGGCAATATCTACTCTTATTCTATTCTTTTCTTTTCTTTTCTTTATTGTGTGGACAAAATGGAGTACATGCAGTTTGTTCAGTGTTTCTGAATCAATAGTTAGATATTTGTATTAGGATTCATACCATTTATGTTCTCAAAGTTAAATGACACTGCAGTATAACTCAGAATCATATAGTCCCAAGTTACTACAGAATTCAAGTGTGAATTTATCATGCTTACGTTCTACTCCCTTCCTTCCAAAATATAAGATATTTTGGCTTTTGAGTCATTGCTTTTATTAAGTATATATACATAGTGCTTTTATTAAATATCTATACATAGTGTATGTGTCAAGGGCGTTGGCGCCCTAGATAGCAGGTCCCCAACTATGGAGTTCGTAGCTTGGGTAATGGCGCTGGGTTTCTCCCCAGGGGCGCCCTATGGTGAAGGGAGTGAGATTAAGAGAAGAAGAGGTAGATTATGAGATAACTTGTTCTTACTTGATTCATCATAAGCTGATTACATGGTATATATAGAGCAACCCAGCCCCTAGGTGTCCAGCTCTAGCTCCTCGTTTCTCTCCCCATTAATCATTCAAATCTCTCATTACTCTAATCTCTTCTCCAAAATACTTAATTTCTACTGATTACAACTAGTACCTCCTTGGATACTGCCCTGGCAACCCTGGCCACATCTCGAGCCCTGGGACGCCTTTGATATTCGCGCCCCCACATCACATCTCTCCCTCCCTCGATGAGAAGCTCATCCTCGAGCTAAAAGCTTGGATAACGGTCGATGAAGCTGTCGACGTCCTCCCAGGTGGCTGATGCTGCGGGCTTGCCTTGCCAATGCACCAGCACCCTGCCACACACCTCTGGCTAGGCGAGCGCGGGTGGCGCGCTCTGGAAAAGGCTGCGTTGCGCCGTGGTGGGTGGGGCAGTGCTGGAGGTGTAGTTGGTGGAGTCCCCACAAACTTCTTGGGCAGCCTGACATGGAAGACATCATGTAGCCGGGCATGAGGAAGCTCGAGGCGATAGGCAACGTCGTTGATCATGGCCGCGACGTAGTAAGACCCATAGAAACGGGGCCGTACCTTCCCCTTGGTGACCACATGCAGGGACGCTGGGGCTCGATGGCTAAGGCAGAGCCAGACCCAGTCCCCAACATCATAGCGGATGTCGCGGTGGTGCTTGTCGTTGAAGTGCTTGTAGACCGCCTGGGCTTGCTCCAGGCGAGCGCAGGCATCTGCGAGGATCTCGTTGCGCTCAACCATGCTTTTGGCCACCGCAGCCACCCATTGAAAGGTCCTAATAGCTAGAGGGGGGTGAATAGCCTATTAAAAATTTCTACAACAACACTTAGCAAACCGGTTAGACAAATATGAGGCGAAACAAATGTTGCGCTAGCCAACTAAAAATATAAGCCACCTACCACAATTCTAGTTTATATAGTTTCTATTCACACAATAGCTGTGTCACTACACTAAGTTAGTGAGCTCTCAAATGCTAACTAAAGAGCCATACTAACCAAACTAATAAGCTCTCACAACTAGTTAAACTAAAGAGCTTCACAACTAGTTTGCGGTAATGTAAAGAGAGTGGGCAAGATGGTTATACCACCGTGTCGAGGAAGGAGCCAATCAATCACAAGAATGAATACCAATGAAAACCAATCACTTCGGAATCAAATGATGACACAATGATTTTTTACCGAGGTTCACTTGCTTGCCGGCAAGCTAGTCCTCGTTGTGGTGATTCACTCACTTGGAGGTTCACGCGCAAATTGGCATCACACGCCAAACCCTCAATAGGGTGCCGCACGACCAACACAAGATGAGGATCACACAAGCCATGAGCAATTCACTAGAGTACCTTTTAGCTCTCCACTAGGGAAAGGTCAAGAACCCCTCACAATCACCACGATCGGAGCCGGAGACAATCACCAACCTCCGCTCGACGATCCTCGCTGCTCCAAACCGTCTAGGTGGTGGCAACCACCAAGAGTAACAAGCGAATCCCATAGTGAAACACGAACACCAAGTGCCTCTAGATGCAAACACTCAAGCAATGCACTTGGATTCACTCCCAATCTCACAAAGATAACGAATCAATGATGGAGATGAGTGGGAGGGCTTTGGCTAAGCACACAAGGTTGCTATGTCAATGCAAATGGCCAAGAGAGTGAGCTAGAGCCGGCTATGGGACTTAAATAGAAGCCCCCATGAAATAGAGCCGTTGGCTCCTCAGTCCACTGAAAAACGGGGCGACCGGACGCGCCGGTCAGATTGACCGAACACTGGACCTCAGCGTCCAGTCGCGCGATGCACGTCATGTGGCCCCTGCTTCAAACGCTGATCGTCCGATCTCAGTGGTCATCAGTACATTTAAGTTGTGACCAGATGCACTGCTTCGAAGTGACCGAAACAGGACCTCAACGTCCGGTCGTTTCCAGTAAGCATCCAAAGGCAATTTTTCACGATCGGACACGTTTGGTCACCCTTGACCGGACTCACCCAGCATCCGGTCAGTCACCCTCTTCACTGTGTGCTGCCACGTCAGCAGGACCGGATACACCCTATCAGCGTCCGGTCACTAAGTGACCCAGACTGCTTCCACTGACCAAACGCAGGACCCCAGCGTCCGGTCATTGTGTGACCAGCGTGACTAACTCCTTTTCAGCTCTATCTTCTTCACCCTTCTCAAATGTGCCAACCACCAAGTGTATCACCTTGTGCACATGTGTTAGCATATTTTCACAAACATTTTCAAGGGTGTTAGCACTCCACTATATCCTAAATGCATATACAATGAGTTAGAGCATCTAGTGGCACTTTGATAACCGCATTTCGATACGAGTTTCACCGTTCTTAATAGTACGGCTATCGATCCTAAATGTGATCACTCTCTAAGTGTCTTGATCACCGAAACAAAATGGCTCCTACCACTTATACCTTTGCCTTAAGACTTTTGTTTTTCTCTTTCTTCTTTTCAAGTCCAAGCACTTGATCATCACCATGGCATCACCGTCATCATTTTATGATCTTCATTTGCTTCGCCACTTGGAATGTGCTACCTATCTCATGAACACTTTGATAAACTAGGTTAGCACTTAGGGTTTCATCAATTCACCAAAACCAAACTAGAGCTTTCAATCTCCCCCTTTTTGGTAATTGATGACAACCATTATACAAAGATATGAATTGTAATTGAATTGAATCCATGTTGCTTGTCCAAGCATATTTACCATATGTAAAAGGATATGGACAAGTTTCATGAACCCCAAATGGTAGCAATTGCTCCCCCTACATATGTGCTAAAAGTTTGGATAGTAGCTTGCACATATGCTTAGATAGGAAATATAGGAGACAATGTCTACCAAATGATGCTAAGGTATAAGAGATGGACCTTTGAAGCGTGATACCAATCGGAGTGCACCAATATGCCATCCTTAGCACCATGGTTAGCTCTATACCACTTGGAAATAAAATCACTAGATAACCTATGCATGCTAGTTTTTCATTTTATCATTCAAACCTACAACTAGCATACACCACACAAGCATGGATATTGAAATTTAAAAACTTGTGCCATGCAAGCAAACATATGAAATGCACCATACAAGTTCATGAGCTTGCTCCCCCTACTTGTGTGCTCAAAATTTTAATTGATCCCTTTCCTTTATCATATCTCTCCCCCTATGTCAAGTTCTCCCCCTTTGTTGTCTTTTCATTATCTTTGTTTTTCTCCCCATGTACTAATATCACTAATATCTTTGTTTTTCTCCCCCTTTGTCATCAATGACCACAAAGGTTCAAAAAGTAGATAGGTTGAGAGTATCAATGTCAATCAATGGGGTGAGGATCATTTTACCAAATTTGGTCCAATCTAGAATACTTGCCAAAGATATTTAACTCGGTTGGATTCAAGGACAAGCTTCTTCACACCTCCAAATAAGGGTTATCTTATACCATGTTGAGTTAAACACTTAGAGCTCATTTTCTAGATCAAACACTAGGTTTACAAGCCCACAAACATGTCATATGCTACCACTAGATAAAAAATAAGCATAGAAGCAATAGTAAAAAATAAGCATAGAAGCAATAGTGGTACCATATAATCATCAAATTCATTTGATTTTCATGAATGAGCCTATTAAATGTGAAAGATGTCTAGATGTACTAATCATGTCCTTAGCAAGGATGTATGCCATGCCCATCAACTTTTACCTTGGATTGCTCGAAGGAGAGGCATGTCACATGAGTGGGGGTGCATCAACACATATTTGAGAAATCCAATATGTTCAACTCATTCTTTAGCTTGCAAAACCTTTTCTCATCCAATGGCTTGGTGAATATATCGGCAAGTTGATCTTCGGTGCCTACACTCTCAATGCAAATGTCCCCTTTTTGTTGATGATCTCTTATGAAATGGTGGTGGACATCAATGTGCTTTGTTCTTGCATGTTGAACCGGATTGTTGGTCAACTTGATTGCGCTCTCATTGTCACATAGCAATGGCACTTTCTTGAACTTGATTCCAAAGTCATTCAAGGTGGCCTTCATCCAAAGTATTTGGGCACAACAACTACCGGTGGATATGTATTCGGCTTCGGCGGTTGATAATGCAACACTATTTTGCTTCTTTGATGACCATGAAACAAGTGATCTCCCCAACAATTGACATGTGCCCGAGGTGCTCTTCCTTTCAACCTTGCATCCCGCATAATCCGAGTCGGAGTAACCAACTAGCTCAAACTTTGCTCCTTTGGGATACCACAAACCAATATTTTGTGCATACTTCAAGTACCTCAATATTCTCTTTGTAGCCTTCGAAGGACTTTCTCTTGGTGAGGCTTGAAATCTTGCACACATGCATACACTAAACATGACATCCGGCCTTGATGCGGTCATATAGAGTAAGCTTCCAAT